CTCCTCCTCCTCCTCCTCCTCCTCTGCCGCCGCCTCCTCCTCCTCCTCCTCCCGGCTTTGCCTCCGCCATTGCCCCTCTCTTCAGCCCCCCGGCGCCTCCCTCCATCCGCCGCCCCCGGCTTTATGTTACACGGAGGCCCCCCTCGCCGCCGGTCCAGCGGGAGGAGCCGCGTCTTCAGCGCCGCCGCTGCCGAGAGGTAGGTGAAGCTGCCGCCGGGCTCCCCGGGGCCCTCCTGCCGCTGCCCGACCTACCGAGGGCGGCCCGGCCCCCCAGTCTGTCTCCTGGCCTTCAGGGACCTTCCTCCCCCGGCCGGGAGCAGGCGGGGGCGGCGGGCATGGCCGGGCCGGGCGCCGTGAAGGGCTTGGGCGGCCTCCGAGGGGGGGCCGAGGGGTCTCTAACTCGGAGCCCGCCAGCCTCCCCTCCCCTTCGTCGGGGAGCTGGGCCTGCGGGCTTTGGCTGGCGGGAAGGGTGCTAAACGTGTCAAGCTGAGGAGCTGAAGTGGGTCATGTGAGTTCCTACCCCGAAAATGGCCCTTTGCCCATCAGCGACGTTGGGGGACATAAAAAAAAAAGTATCTGTGAGCCGAACGAGCAGACTGCCGCCCAGGATTGGTACTGGAGCTTTGAGCTATTTGGTAAATATGGACGCGTCGCTTAAAAAAAGTTATTGGGTTTTTGTTGTGTGGGGTTTGTTCCCCCCACCCCCCACTCCCCCTTTAGAAGAAGAATAGGGGAACCATCAAGCTGTTACTGGATAAAAGGGCAGAACTACTGGCTTCCTGTTGACTTCTTTGTTGTGTATACTTGTCCCTAAGATAACAACCCAGCTCTTTGACCACCATTGCCCCAGTTCACATGCAGATCCCCTCAGCATACCACCGTGTGCCAACATCCTTTCTGTCTTTTTCCTTCCAACACCTAGCCAACCTGTTTAATTTCTACCACATGTCCTATAAACTTTCCCACTGTCACTCATCTCCTTTCACTTTCCTTAATTATACCCTATGGCTGGTTTGGATCTACGCATGTGTTGATTTGCCTTTCAGCAAGCAAAGCAGAACAGATAACTGTTGAGCACACGCTGGAGACACCAGGTCTTTTTCATTTATCTAGCTGCCAATTTGGGGGGAAATCTGTAGAAATTTAATATGTTTGAGATTTCTGTCTTTCTGACAAATGAGGTTGACATTTCGCAATGAGGTCAAAAGCTGTGTGTCTTGAACAAAAGGCACAATCTCATTAATCTCATTTTCTCAAAAGATGCTAAAAGTATTAACTAAGTGAGCAATAAATATACAGATAATAACAAACAAAGAATTGTAAGGGGTAGTTCAACTATCTCTTAGTTAAGATTAACATTTTAATCTTAATTAAGATTAACATTTTTTTTACTAATAGAGTTTAAATACTACGTGTAGCTCATTACCTTTTTATTATGCTAAAAATTTATAACGAGTCCAAAAAAAGTAGGATTAGATTTTTGCTACTAGGAAATACTTAACTTGCTCCTTTTCTGTATAAAATACGCCTTGATTTTCTTGATAAATATCTTTGCAATTAGAAAATCACTCTTTATTAATATTTTTTTCTTACATGTGGAAAAATTAATCATTATAGAAGCCACAAATATATATATATATATATAAAAGGAATGTTGGCACTCAGGATAGAGCAGTCCTGTCCACTTTGAGAGCAGTGGCAAATCCGTAGTTTTTAACACTACCATCATATAACTCTTAGGTATTACTGATACAAGTTTTTCTAGTTAAAGACTATTGTCATTCTTACAGATGTAATAAAAATATTTTATACTTGGCGCCTGTTCTGGTATCAGTAAATGTAATTGGAAAAGCACTGAGCTGAGCTTGCTCTATGTTCGGGAGCATGTTTTTCTATACAGGTGTAGTGATGCAATGATCTTTTATCCAAATGGTTTAAACTATCTTAATGTCTGTGAAGTGCAGTTACATCATCCGCATAATGGACTAATACGATGAGAAACTAATGTATATCTCATTGATGTTAATTCATGAGACCAGAAGCTGAATTTAGATTCAGTTAGGTGAAGTTAAACTGGTCAAGTTACTACAGCTGAGGCATACGTCTGCCAGTCTTAAAATGCTTGTCAAGCATGTACTTTCATCAGAATCCTTTTGATAGTCATCCTAAAGCTTGATTTAAGGGCTGAGCTGGGGACTGTATTTTATTCTCTGGTGGCTAGTGTTGCAAAATGGGAAGTTTCTGACATGCAATTGATTAGCATTCATCTAAATTAAATATGTGAAAATTATACTCTTCAGCAGTATTTTAAAACAAACTGGTTCTGATCTTTTGTGTGTGTGCTTTTAACATCTGGATCTTTCTGTGCAGAAAGACTAAATTGGGTTATGGTATAAGTTTTGAGGAGCAGAGAGTAATATGAGCTGAGAAACCTATCCATTGTGAATACGTGCATATGAGAGCACCAACACATCTGCCTGAGTTAGAGGTTTCTGAAAAAGGAAACAGAACAAAACACTCTCTCCTAGTACTGTAGTCTATGAAGATAGCTAAAGACTACTCAGCAGGGTTCTAGCATACTTACAGAATGACGTATAACCATACCGAGCTGAGACGCAATCCATACTGAGTTTTAATATGTTTGGTTATAACTAGTTCTGATAATGCTTCTAGCATTACCATAATGACCTCAGAGACACTGAGGTGTTATAAAAGTGCCACTGTTGTTATGAACTGATGCGGATGGCTTCAAGAGAGCAACATGGGTAGAGATTGCAAGAGGAGCTGTCACAGTCAGATGCATGCCCCTAAGAAATTCTTCATGCAGTGTGGACAGTTTTCAGGAGTAACCAAGTTTTAACTTCTAGATTTCTGGCAGTCTGGTTCCTCTGACTGGCAGTGATCAGTAAGCTCCTAACTTCTCACTTCTAAAGTAATCCAGTGTTTTTGGAATTCTTGGCACAGATTGGATGAAGTCTTTAGTGTGAACCTACCCATGCATTTAAGATAAATTGTTTCCCAAACTTAGCATATTAATTATAAAGGATTTTAGATAAAACACCTATGAACTTGATGTGTTTCTTTGTTTCCTACTTTTGCAATTGTAGCAATGGAAAGTTTCAGCATCTGCTGGTTATTGATCTAGCTCACTTTTACCTCATTCCTTCTGTTGCTGTTAGTGGAGAATTGTGATGAAAAATGGTGGTTTGGACAAGGTTTAATGGTTTTAGTGTCAAACCATGTAAACAAAGGTTTAATTTGGAGGATAGATTATTTACACTGTGTAAATGTATATTTATACACTCATTACATTCTCGCTCATTGCAGTACACTGCATTCAGAGGCCTGGTTTTTAGTGATGAATGTGTGCAGTTGTGAATGTTTTGCTTGTATGTGCAAATGCCAGTGTGTATTGTATTTTCATACATGTGTATAACATTTGACTGTAGAGAAACATTCTA